TCAAATTTTTCATTTCCGCACGTTTCTTGCGCTTTCCTCGTATAGTTTCACAGTATTTGACATTCTTCTTAAAGAAAGTTATCATGGTGTGTTTTTTCTACTTTTAAGCACCAAAAAAGAGGTAAAACACGTATTGGTCACTAATATACACCTTTTAGGAGTATGTGTATAAATTGTAAAAAAGTTGCCCAACAAAGGGTTGGAACCTCCAAACATCCCCACGGTAGTCAGCACACTTGCCACTGCGCCACGCCGCTACGGTCGGCTGAGGGTGGCAGTCGTATACGGGCAAGGCGCGCTGGGTCTCGCGCGGAAAACGCCCGTAGCCCCCCTCCCAGAGCTGTTCTGCAGCTAACAAGGGTAGATTTGGAAATGCCCTTCCGAGTGACGTGTCACACCACCCATCTCATCTCGAACGGCCACTGCGATGTCTGACACTTCCCTTGTCAGCATTGCCGCAAAAAGTCGCTAAAGAGTGGCGCCGAGTCGAATACGTGCGCGAAGATTCAGCTCAATTCGTCCAGCACAGAGAGGTTTGTACGGAGCATACATTCCAGAAAGCATAAAGGGATCCAGAATGTACAATTGTAGCGGTGGAATCCGGCCAAGTTGCGGAATTTGCGGGATTTGCGGGATTCGCGAGATTTAGTTATAACTTCTTCTAAAACAACTTTATTTGGAATCTGCAAGAAGATTTGGCTTTAACTTGATGAGACCAATCTTTCGGTAGATATATGATACTACTTTGTTACTTCGAAATTTGCTCATATGAGCAACAATACATGTTGGTAATCTCATTACACATGCCAATACAACACAATGCACCATGAAAAACGGACATAATGTACACTGAGAGATTCGATTCATCAAGCTGTAGCCAAATATTCTTGCAGATTCCAAGTAAATTTGTTTTAGAAGAAGTTATAACTAAATCCGCAAGTCCCGCAAGTCCCGCAAATCCCGCAATTTTGGCCAGATTCCACCGCTACAACTGTAAATTAGCCCTTATAATTTTTGCGGTACTCTGAAATCTGTATTCAATCCATATTTCAGCGGTGACATAAATGGATACACCGCGATGATTCCAATTAAGGACCGGGCATACTCACGCGATTTCACCGCGACGATTTGGCAGTATTCCAACTGTCCATAACTCGTTGTAAGCATATTTTAAATGTACAGAAGATAGGGCATTTCATCAATCCTCGTAAGTTATACAAACTATGCAAGTGCAGTTTGCTAGCGTCGGATCTGAAAACTTTTGACGAATTGCCAAATCGCGTAGCGACTGAAATAGCGTGAACTATGCCCGGCCCTTTAAGCTAATTTTAGGAAATAGATCATCTTCGCTGGAAGGACCCATTCTTCTGCGTGTCAATGAGCGCAGGAGTTTGCAGTGTCGCTGTCTTTCTCCATGTCCAGGACGAATGAATATGAATACGAAATCTTTGTACCTGACATATTCGATAAAGGCACTCAATGTTTTGGAACTTATATGAGTTTATCGCACTTTAAATAAACTAATGGCTTATCCAACGTATCGGTCATTTATGAAATCGTGACGACGATTAATCTGCGGTCTTTGCGCCCATAGGAGCATAAAGCGCATTAAAAAAGGCATTATCTCATCGCTCAGTTAATCACTTCCAGTGCCTAGATACTATCATATGTAAACCAGAAAACCACCGAAGTAGAGATGCAAACCAAACGCGCCATCATCACGATTTTTCAAATGCCCTATATCTTACTTTCGTAAATTTATACAGCACTAGGGTATCCCGAAACATCATGCCACCGTTCTATCTTCTCCTGACCAGTTATTTTAGTATCATTGCGTCTGCGGTAGGGCTTGAGAAGAGTGCGATACAACTGCTGTAGTTATGATGATCGACTTCCTCTTCAAAGGGGTATATGTTGATAAAAATTCACGAAGTGGCTGGTTGAATAAAACGAGTATGATGCTGCAAAGATGTCTTCTGTTTGTTTGTTCATCTTCCGTATATTCTGTATTACCTATAACTCATGTGAGCTAATTCCCAGTTCAAAGTGCTTGTCAGAAATACTTGCAACCTCGTTGAGGCAAAGTTCGAAAGCACAAGAAACGATATATTTGCTAATAACAGCACTATATTCTGAACACAACCCTAAAAAATATTAATTACTCAAACGATGACTTATCTTTGTGTCTTTGCAAGTTTTAGTTAATGCTAAATAAAAAAACGGATGGGAAAACAGACTTCATGAAATTTTACCTGTACATAAAATGATACATTCTTCTTCAGCAAGCGTCTTTCGTGTTCCGATTGCATTCCGTTGCTGTAGCGTAAATTCTGAATGGTATATAGAGCGTACAGTCTACTCGAGCAACTCAAGCAAAAAGTTCCGGACTCAGCATCTTTTCTGGCTACGATATAAGGTTAGTGCTATAACAACTCCTCAATCTTTTCATGTCCTTCTCATAATCTAGTTGTTGTTTTAATTTTTATCGATCTTCTTCATAGCTTCAGAGGAGTTTTACGTTCAATGGTACTTAAGGAGGTGAGCACAATTGGAAATTAACGTATATCATAGTTTGGTACTTAGGCTGGGTTCATACTGATCCCAAAGTTCCGGAACAGTTCCAGCACAGTTCTCGCATTGTGGAATTGTGCCGAGACTTTGCTGCATGCGCTGCAGCCGCTCGCATGCGGTTTGGAGCGGCACGAGATAATAATAATTTTTAACTTTCTTCAAGTTTTCATAGTGAGTTTTGCTTATTTTCACCTCATTTCTCGCTTGCTCTTGTGATTCATAAGGTTCCTATTTTGGAGAGGGGGTTCAAAAAAAGCGCCATTTCGTTTTGTGCATCAACTAAAAACTGCCACAAATGATGCCGCTTCATTCGTGAACATTTCTCCAAGTTCGAGTTTTTTCATCAGAAGCGGAACAATAATCAAACGAAAGATGCAGTAAAAGTTGTGCAAGGAAATGTGGCTGAAACACCTGTAAAATCCCATGAAAACACAGGGAAAAATTTGCCATTTCCACAATTGTGATGGTTATATCTCTCTCTCTCTCTCTGAAGGCAGATGAGGATAACGAGGATGCAGCACCTCTCTGAAATGCAAAAAGAGCACGAGGGAGAAGGGGCACGCAAAGGAATATAGATAATTTACGCAAGACATGACATGAGAAGTTTCATTCTCGAATACCCGTCTAAGTTCGTAATCCTCTGCATCACGAGAAAGCAAGACGCGATTATAAGACGATGAGACGAATGTGCAAAGCTTACAATCAAAACCGTTGAAAAAAGTCAAAAATCTCAGTTTGCGCCGCTCAAAAACACATATGGGTGGCTGCTCCGCATGCAGCTCAGTGCGAGAACTGTGCTGGATGTTTCGGAACTTCATCATTATGAATTCAGCCTCAACACTCACTATGATGATTAGTTAGTTACAATCTATAATGGCACAAGTCATATACTCGTGATTTCTCTATCTCACCCTCAACAACAGCCATTCTTACATACTCGCCTTTGTTCTTTTCCTTATGCAGTAGAATGTTATTGTGTCAATGACAAATATCAGAGCGCAAACGCATACGACATGGACACCAACTGTATAGTAAATTGTGATGTAACCGCAGGCGGTAGGACGAGGGTGCCATATAAATATCGTCGTGTCATACCATAGCGAACAATCATCTTCACGTAATTATTAGTCCGGTCAATTTGAAAGACAAGTAAGTTGGAAGTACAGTCTAGTCATTTCGTGTTTACATGCGTGTCAAAGCACAACACCCCAACATAGCGCGTACCCATCCTAAAAGCGTGTTCCATTCTGCATGCAAACTTTGAAATCCTCTCAACGCTTTCTAAAACATGAAATGCACAAAAACTATCAAAAACGACGAGAAAGCACTCTTCATAAAAAAATTCGTCCAGGCAGGCAAGCGACATCCGAGATAGCACGCGTAATACAGGGTGTCCCAAAAGTAAGTACACACTTTTAAATCGTTAACATCTCTCTTCCCATTATGGCTTTTTCCGCCGTTCAAGAACCATTCTGTAGAGAAGGCTTCAACTTAGATCTACAGTATCGAGCGAATTACCGATCCCTCTTCATTACTGTAGGATTACTGTAAAAACTTCGACAAGGATTTTAACCCATTGGAAGCTATATTCTGCCTCGGAATAAAACCAAACAAGCTCAAAAATTCTAACACTATGGTAATGGAAGCCGCTGATTTCGAATATGGACCGCTTTACTGTGACACTTCTTTCCAAAGTATGCCAGGTCGTAATAACCGAATTCCCAGTATTAATCTGAAATGTGATTACACCGTCAAAAATAGCTGAATACTCGTTAAAAGTTGTGTATTAGAATCAGCGTGCCCGAAAATCTTAGTACACGATTTTTCAGGTCTTTTGAAAAAAAATTTGCCAGATGGCATATTTCACAATGGTTCCACGTTCTGGAAGTTCTTACCGTAATCCTACAGTAATGAAGAGGATCGGTGATTCGATCGATAGTGCAAATCTAAATTATAGCCTCCTCTACACAACGATACTTGAATGGCCACAGAAGATGCATTGGGAGGAGAGATACTGACGATTGAAAAGTGTGTACTTACTTTTGGGACACCCTGTATATGGTATGTGCTTTCTCGCATATTAAGATACAAAATGACTTTACTGAACAAACTTACATATGCTAAATGCCAGTGCATGAGCAAGAGATAATATACAAAAGCTAGCAGTAAAATAGATGAATCTCTTTCCAGCAAAAGACTTACTAAGAAAAAAAGACCTCTTTACTTGTAGCTATAGAATAGCTGCGCGCTCACTTGTACATAAGAGGCCATCCAATTGCCACAAGACGATTTATAGCTATTTGAACTTCACTATATAGTGCACAAAACCAACAGAAAAAGTAAACCTGTGCTATTCTCCAAATAAAAAAATTATCTGTGACTGACGCGTCAAGTTGCCTGCAATGCCATCACCGAATCATGGAACATAATCACAATGCCAAACTGTACAAAATTGTTGCTGGTCCGTCAAAGAGCGAAAAGATCAGCAAATCTCCCGTGTTGGCAACCAGATGCAGGGCACAAATGTAGCCGAAGGCGTTGTGGAATAGTGGCGAGTGCATGAGGGCCAGAATCACACCAATATTGATGCTCGTCCCTATGACACCAAGCTGAAAATATTTTGCGACAGTGTTTAACCAAGTTCAAATTCAGATTTGAGTGAATGCAAGGTTATCTTACTGCTGTCATGAGGACTCCTGCGACGATGTAGTCACTGGGCAAGGCGGAAGTAGAGTTGCTGCTCATAATTCTCCAAATCCATACAAGAAACTCGCAAACACGTTTATATGGTTTCTTATGCTGAAAATCAAATGATGTAGGCAGTGACTTCGCAGGATCTCCGGAAAAAAGGGTGCGAAAAAAAGTTCTTCGAACAAAGTCGTTGTTGACCGCACACTGCGAGAATTTTTTAAAATGTCTCCCAAAATTTTTATGGGAGTACAACTCCTAATTTTTTGAAAAAGGGGCGGCAACAGCCACGCCTTCAAAAATCTTTCTATAAGGCTTATCTGACATTTTCAAAAATTGAGAAGGAACTGTGTTTATCTGATTGTTTAGCCACGACCAAGATTGGTAAGTTTTTATTTAGGCTAACTTTTCGGCAATAATTCGCCTTCTTCAGAGCCTGAAATGGGCGAAAACAATTTACAGACTACCCGATCAAACACCTCCTCAACCCCACAGGCAAAATTCTAAGCTTTCTTTCGACCACGAGCAGGTTGCCACACGCAATATTCACCTTTTCGCCGGTAAAGTTCTGGTTTAGTACGAGCGAGTGCTTACTGACCGCTTGAGCAAGGAATTAAACATGTCTTCACATGGTCAGAAGATCTGATTGAGATACGGTGCGAGTTCTCGCGTGATAGAGAGACACTCCTGCTTGCGATTCATTTTAGGGTTTCTAAAATGAATCCAAAAGGCTTCTAAGGTTTTGCGTGTGGATATTTGAGCTTCGCGCGCTAGAATCTCTACTTTCACTTCAAAATCAACTCCATGATGATCTTGCACTCTGTGGGCGCCCAATGGAGTGGATGTGCGTGAACCTTTGAGATGTTCCTTAATACGTATGCTCAGAGGGCGTGCCGTTTCTCCGATGTATTCGTTGCCGCAATCCTTGCATGATATGAGATATACAACACCCGTACCCATGCAGTCTCCGTCCCTTGCTGTTGGGCATATCGGACAGTTCGGCGTAGGGCAACCGCGGTCGTACATGCGATTCCGAACAAGGATACGTTTCAAATTGTTCGGAGGTATATCTACTACCGAAACTGTATTGTCTAGCTCTGCTTTCCTCAGACACCGCCGAATGGCGGTGCTCACTTCATCGGAGGTGAAGGGTATGCAGAAGGGTATCTTTTCTGCTGCGGACGCTCTTGCTCTATCTACAAAGCTCCCCTGTTGGCTCCTACACCGCGTCATGTTGTTTAATAACCGTTCATAACCGAGAAGGAACTGTTTTACAAGTGCAAATAAGTCATTTGCACATTTTTGTAAACCATGTAAGTAACTCTTAGAAGAGAACCCCCCCCCCCCCCCCCCGCCCTTTTCCCGGTCTGCCACTGGGTACAGTATATCAGTTCCATTTTGAGAAAGGATCAAGCCAAAGATTAATTAATTCTTAATGCAGCAACAACAGTCAACAGGCAACAGTTGTTTTTGAAAATAATTGGTAGAATGCGATCAGGGCGGAGTTGGCCGAGGGGGTAATGTCCTTGACTCTGAAAGGTCAGAGTTCGAAGCACGCGACGAGCCGGCTAAAGGAGAAGAATCTTCGCATCAACATGCTCTTTGATATTTCATCAGCATCCTGGAATTGAAGCTAGGCCGTTCCCCGGAGGCGACGTGCATTTGGGCTCGACGAATGCGAACAATCGGCTAAGCTTACCGTCTCAGAAGGCTTAAAAGGAGACGGCTAGTAAACTAACTCATTAGAGGCACCGTCCACCCAAAATGGGGTCGACGAGATTTTCATGACTAACAGTAGTGGGCCCCCAACTGTATACTTATCTAACTCGCGCTGGCAAAAGTTGCTTCCGAAGGAGAAAATTGCTTCGAAAATCGCTCAGATGAAAGACTTGCCACGTTGCTCTTCCCTTTTGAGTAAGCGTGACTGTCCTACCCATCCGTACTCGTCCAACCAATCACCGTATCGAAATCGCTCTGCGGGATCTAAAAACGGGGTCTTCGTCGCTTTCGCGCATTTTTAACTTGATATTCGGAGTCAGGGGGATGAGAAGGCATTGGAACGGCAAAAACATGAAGGTCGAAATTCTGGGTGGACGGCGCCTTTAAAGGCATGATTACAAGTTTTCGAAAAGACTTCGTATAGCTACCCTCAAGTTCCCTCACCAGCTGACTTCGCGAAGTGGCAGGTCTTCTCAAAAGACACCTCAAAGTAGACGTCGCTTGCATACAAGAGGCCAAATGAAAAGGAGTAAAGGCAAGAGACATAGATGGCTATAAGCTCCTTTACAAGGGACTGAGCAAAACAAGAATGGAGTCGGCAGTGTTTTCGAAGCACTGAGAAATAGGAACAAAAGTGGTTCGAATAAGCGGACGTCTCGTGAGCGTAGAAACAGACACCGGGAAGAACGGCTCAATGCAGTGTCAGCATATGCGCCACAAGCTGGCTGCTCCTCTTTCTCCGCTGCGGAAAAGCGGAGAAAGAGGAGTTTTGGCAGCAGCTTGACGATTACAACAGCTCAGTACCGTAAGAAGAAATGCTACTCGGAGGAGATCTCAACGGACATGTGGGAGAACAGCGTAGCGTTTAAGGGTGACACGACCACCACGGATATGGACATGTAACGAATTAATATTCTGGAATCGCCACATCTACCGAGTAGGCATTAGCGAATATGAGTTGTCAAGAAGATCAACCACCTCGTCACGTATTCCAGTGGGATTCGCAAATCGCAAATAGACTTCTGAATAGTGTGACAGAAAGAATTCAAGTACATGTGGACAGCAAAGTCATTCCCGGTGAAAAGTGCGTACCTCAACACAAGCCACTGCTACTGGAGGGGCTCAGGGCTCGGCACGAGGTGGCTTTTCGAAAACGCAAAAATTGAAGTCCGACTTTCCTCAAAATTTTACAAAGTCTCCATAGAACTTCTAAATGGAAATAAAAGTAAAGGCTACTGTAGGGCGAAGGCGCAGGCAGAATTATTATAGTTTAACAAATCAAAGTACATAATCGCGATACGTTATGTACTTTGATTTGTTGATTTAAATTTGGTGCGCGAAATCTTACATGGTATTAATCAAAAGTAGGATGTTTAACATTGCTTTCCAAAAGCGTCACGACAAAAGCCGTGCAACGAAAGCACTCTATTGTACGCGACTCATTCAAAAAAAAACCCTCATCGACGACATCTCTAAAATATTGAATGATTAGATGTCGGATGACAAGGCCAGATTTGAGGCGGAAAAGTTTCTAAGAAATGTAAGTTTATGTTGAGATTACAATGATAACAACAAGAGAACAACAAGAAAAGTTTATGTTTAGCGAAACTCACGGTCATATCATTAAGCATACGAGTGATTCAAGCTTCTGTGCAAAAGGTGCGTAACAGTATCAGACATCATGCCTCATGCTTCAAAACATTCTAATCATCCAGCGGACCGTATCAACATCTCTGAATTGAATTATGTCTTCATTAGGTGATAGCCTTCTTGATGGGCGTTATCAAAGTGATTATATATATATTAATAGAACACAATGAGTTGTCATAATCTCGAAGAAATAAAAGTAACCAAGAAGGTGATGATGGCTTTGTGTCATAAGATGTAGGGCCAGATATGAAGTAGCCACTGCTTCTCAGAGGAAGTCCAACCTTGTGCGCCATGCGTCCTAATGCAAGCCCCAACAAATGCAAGTAGGACGCGTTTTGAGATGAGAAGCAAAATCGAACACATAGCTACTAAACTCCACCATGAAAGAAAAAACGCTTCCGCCTGGGATGTAGTCAATAAAGGCCGTAATCCCAAAATTTTTGAAAATGAGTGATGCTTAGGGACGACTCCCTTCTGAATTATGCGACTGGGAAAATTACAAAAGGTAAGTGGTTATGCATACTGTCCGCCTTTCTCATCGCATTTTAGAATTAGATCAATATCCCTCAGTCAGATGCTCCATTAACTGGTCTAGAATTGAAGAAAGAAGTTGATTTGCAAAAGAAGGAGGACAACTCCAATAAACGGAATGTTGTTCATTTGAGTCGGCCACGAATTATTTCAAAGGTAGTTGCCATTTATTCTATGACTACGAGACTCAGGATCGACGATACTAGCTTGTGGGTATCATACGGTAATCGGTGCGGTACGGTGAGTATACCCCAATTCTATGGCTTCATTGTTTATAGAAATCATTACATCATTTTCAGCATAATCACTCCAGTTTAATTGGAGCGCTATATCACCAGTTTACTTCTTGGTACTTACTACTCTCTATTTCTGCGCTATGCAGCCTTGCCTTCGTTTATGACTTCAGAATGGGAGGAGAGTTTGGTAGGAACAAATTGGGTGGCACAACGATTTCATGGATAGACTAGCAACTGGGCACAAGCGGCGATAAGGACGACTCCAAAACTTGGTAAAGCTATTTGTACAGCCAAGTTGGGCGTGTACAACCTGATGCCAACTTCTAGCAAGAGCTTGATTGGTGAGTAGAAGCCGATCTTTTATGGCTGTTTCAAACTGACTATCGTAGTAAAAAGAGATTAGTGTAAGTTACAAAATTCTCTATTCATTATAAGCACGTATCAAAGTTAAACATATTGTGATGAGTTCGAAAACGCATACAAAACTTCAAGCTAAGGGATCGTCGACAAAAAAGCTTTTTGAACGCCAATATTAGGAGCTGTTTATGTGCCCAGAAGCTGGCTTATTAAAAGAAGTTAGGGGGAGTTCGAATATACCCTTACTTCACGGGCACAAAACGCACCCGCTCAGCCGCCTCGCTGTGTTCCGGAAAACGATTATGCCGCACGGTACTCTCAGGTAATACTCAACACTGTGTAGAGTAGTCCTTTAGTCGCGAAATTTTTTGAAGCGCTTAGGCTTATTTGGAAGAAAAAGAGGTGCGTCCTGTACTTGTGGAATTAGGGTAAAGAAAACTCAAAACACAAAAATGTTTCTTGCCGAAATCCATACAACCCAATGACTAACCCTTGACCCACTGACTCATTATTCCACTCAATGAAAGTTATAGGATGTATGCACTTGGTCGAAGGGTCCCGGCG